ATGTAGATATTAGCAGATACATTCAAATATTGATGGTTGGATATAAGGTTTCAGATACTGCTTTCTTGGTTTTACAGATTATTTGGTCAAAGGTTACTTATAAGTCAACATTCTGAAAATTTTTTTTTTTAAAGATTTATTTATTTGTGCATACAGAACTGGGGTACAGGCCAGAGGCTCAGGGGCAGTGAGAGGCTTCACCAAAGACAGAATGGGGAGCAGACCAGGCAGATCGACGAAGTACACTGCTGGGGGGAGCAGCGTGCGGGTCAGGAGAGGTCTGCCACGCCATGTGGTCACCTCTGGGGCAGGCGGGAATCGAACTCATGCGGAAGTGGCTTTTTAGATTCTCAGTGCTGTGCTTTAACCCGCCGAGCCACCAGGGAGGGCCCAACATTCTGAATTTAAGGAGTTGGAGGAATTGGGGGTCTAAATCCAATTTTCCATTTTTGGCTATTTTGAATATTTATCTCTATTCCAAAAATTCTTTTTAAAAAAATATAATTAAACTTTATACTTTTCTTACATAATTGCTCATTTTTGTACAGCGTTTGATTTCTCCTCTCAGTTGTAGTCCCTATAAATCTCCCATGATTCTTATCGCCCATGAACTGTTGTCATAGATGTCTTATGTTCTTCCCTTCCTCTCACTTGCTCTATGTCTCCGATCTATAGTTTGTCTGCAAGTTTGTCTTTTTTGATCCTTTGTTCGGGTTCTGTAAATTCCTCCTACATGCAAAATCATCTGATACTTTTCCTTGTCCTTCTCTTATTTCACTAAGCCTAATCCTTTCAAGCTCCATTTAAGTGCTGCAAATGGCATGAGTTTTATCTTTCTGGTTGCTGCCTAGTAATCCACTGTGCATATATATATCACTTCTTCTTGATCCACTCATCTCTTTTGGGGCCTTTAGGTTGTTTCTATAGTTTAGCTGTTGTAAGTAGTGCTACAATAAAGGAGTGAAGGTTTCCATTTGAACTAATGAAAAAAAAAAAACAAAGATTCTTAACTTGCTTACCATAAATAATGAAGATCAAAAAAATATGACTCTTGAAACAGTGAAACGTTAAGAAAAGTGCTTATTAAAAGTGTTAAGGGCCCTCCCCAGTGGCGCAGCTGGTTAAAGCATAGCACTATGAACCTGGCAGCAGCTGCTTTAGCCCAAGTTCGAGCCCCGGCCAGGGAGGTGACCCACCCAGCACAGGAGATCTCTCCTGTCTTGCCCGCTGCTCCCCTCAGCAGTGTACTTCTTTGATCTGCCTGTTCTGCTCCCCACTCTGTGTCTGGTGAATCTTCTCACCACCCCTGCACGTCTGGCCTGTATCCCAGTTCTGTATGAATAAATAAAATCTTAAAAAAAAAGTGTTAAGATTGTACTATCAGAAGTTGTTCTCTAGTCTTTGTTATGTCTACCACCTTGTTAATTTAGTTAAATGTTCATTTATAAATAGGGAAGTATAGATTAGATTCAGTAGATCAAAATGGACTGTGGTTAGATGTGGATTAGATTAAATGAGATTGAAGAATACTATGTTTAGAGTTTTTTTTAATGAAGATATCATATGGCCCATTAATTACCTTAATATTGAGTAAATCCTAGGTTCTTAGAATATTTTAACTGCTAGGATTTTTACATATATTTTAAAGTAGCAGCTTTTGAGATTTAGTTCACATTCCATAGAGTACAATTCAGTGCTTTTCAGTGTATTCAGACTTGTGTGCCCATCACCACTTTAAAATTCCAGAATATTTATTGCTCCAAAATCCATTAGTAGCCACTCTCATTTCCCTCTTGCCCTGGAAATCATGAATCTATCAATTTGGCTATTTTGAAAACTTGATAGAATTATATTATATGTAGCCTTTTATGTCTGACTTCTTTCACTTAACTTCTGTGTTTTCCAAGATTCATCAGCATATCTAGCACCTACTATTTTTTTAAATATAATAGTTTATTTTTACATCATTTTGTACATTTTTTTTCCCATCTCAATTGTAATCCCTGCGGGTTTCCCATCACCAAGTCACCCGTGTGCCATCACCATAGTCGCGTACACTTCCCTCCCCCCCCCCTTTTTGATCCCATCCCCCACTCCACCCCCCACAAAATGTCTCTGGTATATGGTTGTTCATTATTTTTGTTATTTCTCGCCTGGTCCATTATACTCCTGCTATGAGTGAAACCATCGGTATTTTTCTTTCTCTTTCTGGCTTATCTCACTAAGCATGATCTTTTCCAGCTCCATCCAAGTTGCTGCAAAAGACATGTGTTTCTTTTTTTTGGTTGCTGAGTAATATTCTATTGTATATATGTACCACATTTTTTTTTTTAAAGATTTATTTATTTGTGCATACAGAACTGGGGTACAGGCCAGAGGCTCAAGGGCGGTGAGAGGCTTCACCAGAGACAGAGTGGGGAACAGAACAGGCAGATCGATGAAGTACACTGCTGAGGGGAGCAGCGGGCAGGTCAGGAGAGGTCTGCCACGCCAGGTGGTCACCTCCAGGGCAGGCGGGAATCGAATTCATGTGGAAGTGGCTTTAGATTCTCAGTGTTGGGCTTTATCCTGCTGCGCCACCAGGGAGGGCCTGTACCACATCTTTTTAATCCAATCATCTACTTTTGGGCATTTGGGCTGCTTCCATGTTTTTCCAGTTGTAAGTAAAGGAGCAATAAACATTGTGGTATCTAGCACCTCCTTTTTTTATGACTAAATAAAGTTCAGTGTATGGATACACAACATTTTGTTTGTCTAGTTATCAGTTGATAGACAGTTGGGTACTCTGTACATTTTGACTATTATAAATTTACAAGTTTTTTTATATGGGCATATGTTTTTATTTCTCTTGTATACATATAACTGAGAGTGTCTTTGTCCCATATGAGTGTTAACTCTAACTCCACCCTTTAATGTTTTGAGGAACTGTCAGACTTTTTCCTGAAGCAGCTATTCTATTACCAGTGTATAAAAATTTCATTTTCTCAACAACCTCACTTAATATTTGTTACTATTTTCTTCTTTTTTTTAATGGTCTTCCTAGTCTGTTTGAAATAGCTCATTGAGGTTTCAGTATGTACTTTTCTAATGACTAATGTTGAGCACTTTTTCTGAGTGCTTATTTGCCAATTACATATTCTCTTTGGAGAAATGTCTGTTTAAATCCTATCCCTCTTTCATTATTGTTAAGCTGTCTCCCATCTCAAAACTAACAGTACTGCTACTACTTACCGCTACTACAGGTACTATTGCTACTAGTGTCATTACTACTATGGATGTCACTACTAATACTAGTAGTGTTACTGCTGCTAATATTTTTTTCTTTATTTTTACTAGTATCTTTAAGATGTTTCTTTTCTCTCTGCTACCATCCTTACATCTCACTGCCCCTTTACCTCCCTCAACCTCAGAGCCCTTGGGATTTTTTTTTAAAGATTTATTTATTTTTTTATGCATGCATACAAGAACTGGGCTACAGGCCAGAGGCATGGGGGGTGGATGAGAGGATTCACCAGAGACAGAATGGAGAGCAGACTAGGCAGATGTACTGAAATACACTGCCAAGGGGAGCGGGGATGAGACAGGAGAGGTCTGCTGTGCCATGTGGGCAAGTTCCCTGGTGAGGACCAGACTCCCATGCTGTAGTGGCTGCGGACAGCTTCAGCTGCTGGACTTAACTCCTTGCACCACCAAGGAGGCCCCAGGATATTTATTGAAGTCCACTGGCTTTTAAAAATGACTTACATTGTCTGCACTGTAAATGCCCAGTATTTGTTTATCATTCTGACTGACTTTGCTGCCCATAATTCTCTCAGATTCTTTCCACTGTGTTGAAACTGGCCGCACATCATCTTTTCTTCTATAATGCTGCATGTTGTGTATAGACCACGGCTTCTTGGTCTAGTCGTCCATTAATGGGCATTTAGGCTGCTTCTGTGTCCAAGCTGTTGTAGATAATGCTGCTATGAGCATTGTATCTATGACTTTGTGTTGGTGATTCCTTATTCTATGGCTAAATGCCCAAGGAGATTGCAGGGTTATTTCCTACTTAAAATTTTTTTAATAGTTGTGTCAGTTTACATTCTCATTAACACTTTGCCCATTTAAAGTCAGAATAGTAAGTGAACATAAGTTATAAATATAATAAAGTTAATGTAAGTGGTTCATTTCTTAGAGAAGATTAAAAGACTTAAAACAGGCGTTAGATTGTTTGCTATCAGGATCTTAGTGTAAAATGGTAAAAGGTTTATTTTTCTGGCCTGTTTATTCTGTTAAGCTATCCTCTTGATACAGCAGAAAACATTTTTGTAATTTTAAAAAGATTTATTTATTTATGTATACAAGAGCTAAGGTGTAGGCCAGAGGTGTAGGTGGTAGTGCTGAGGGGATTCACTAGAGACAGCGAGGCACAGAACAGGTAGATTGACTGCAATACACAATTGGGGGGGTACCATCAAGGGATACTCTGTAGTCTTAATTTAAAACTGGGAAAGTTTAAAAGTAAAATTTGAAAGGCATGTGACAAATATGTTACTGAATATTAATAACGATTTTAAAATATTCATAAAACAAAGACCCTTTATTAGTTCTTCTTGTAGTAGGAAAAGATATATATGGGGTGGAATTCTCCCAACCCAGCCACAATGACCATCTTTTATACATTGTGGAAAGAATTGTGGGTAATAGTTACCAAACTAGGGAGATAACTACACCTCCCCCTACTCCCCAGGGTTCTGAGCAGCATATATATATAAAAAAAATAATGATTCTGCAACTCAGGAAGCCCTTCTGGGCTTTGGGATCATAGGGGCTGCCACATCTGAAACTTCTCTCTCTCTCTCTCTCTCTCTGTGTAATTATTTTTAATAGTTCAGTGCCTGAAATAAATTATTGAAGCTTGGATTTTCTAGTTTTCTTACTGAGTGATATGTAAACCTTTAACACTTTAAGTGTGTGCCAAATTGAAACTAATCCTTTTTCTGATGTATTTCTTGTTACAGGCCTCAGGAGTGCAAGTTGCTGATGAAGTATGTCGCATTTTTTATGACATGAAAGTTCGGAAATGCTCCACACCAGAAGAAATCAAGAAAAGAAAGAAGGCTGTCATTTTTTGCCTCAGTGCAGACAAAAAGTGCATCATTGTAGAAGAAGGCAAAGAGATCTTGGTTGGAGATGTTGGCGTAACCATAACTGATCCTTTCAAGCATTTTGTGGGAATGCTTCCTGAAAAGGATTGTCGCTATGCTTTATATGATGCAAGCTTTGAAACCAAGGAATCCAGAAAAGAGGAACTGATGTTTTTTTTGTGGTAAGCCTGGACCTCTGTAAACTCAGAGTTAATCTTTTATTGTTAGCCTCTGGAAAACCAGTTCCTGGAGAAAAAGTAATTTTCAATTAAACTTTCTCCAGTGTCTGTCATTTAATTTTTGTTTACAAGGTTTAATAATGTCTTAACTAAATTGGTACTTGTGGGCTTAAAACTAGTCTAGTGAAAGAACAAGGCAAACAAGACCTTCAATAATTGATTCTTTTTGGCAGGCTAAGGAGCAGGAATTAGGCTTCTTTATAACCTCTGCATTCATCATATCAGTAGCTAAAAATTTCTCTAAAAATTCTTCCTGAATACTAAGCAGAAAGTTTAACCTAACCAAGATCTTTCTCCAGCACACCATTCTGGGCACTAGCCTCCCATTTTTTTTTTTTTAAAGATTTATTTATTTATGCTCACAGAACTGGGGTACAGGCCAGAGGTGCAGGGGTGGTGAGAGGATTCACTAGAGACAGAGTGGGGAGCAGAACAGGCAGATCGACGAAGTACACTGCTGAGGGGAGCAGCGGGCGGGTCAGGAGAGGTCTGCCATGCCATGTGGGTCACCTCTGGGGCTGGGGAGCGAACTTATGCTGAAGTAGCTTTAGCTTCTCAGTGCTGTGCTTTAACCCTCTGTGCCACCAGGGAGGGCCCAGCCTCCCAGTTTTTTATATCATCAGTCTTTGTGCTCCTGTGGTTTGCTGACTTTGAAGCTGGTACTATCATTGCTGCTCTATGTTGGCACTGCAGGGCAGCCACTGGCCACCATGGCTTTTTAAATTTAAAACAATTATAATCAAATGGCATTTAATATTGAGTTTATGAATTGAACTGCTACATTTCAAGTGCTCAGTCACTACGTGTAACTAGTGGCCACCTCATTGGGTATTATAGAGTTAGAACATTTGCTTTACTGTGGAAATCTCTCTGGGACAGTGTTGCTCTATAGCAAACAGGCTATTATAATTCTATTCTTTTCAAGTAAGTTAATAGTAGAAAAGTCACACCTGTATCCTTCATGTAGTCGTTTTGTACTACATTTGCTATCAAAATTTTCACATAATAAGAATATTCTCTGACTTCCAAGGGGAGTGGTAACAGCCTCTGATTGGGAGGGCGGGTGAGGGAACAGGTAAGGGTCCTCGTGATACCCTTGCCTGAACTAGGGAAAGGCAAGGAAGGGGGACTTAGCTCTCAGCTGTGTGCCCCCATTATTGGGATATGGGGCCAGAAAGTCAGAAGAATTATGATTTGAAGGACTGTACCTCCAGATCACACCTCAGTTCCATTTCAGGAGACCTTTATTGCATTTGATTAAACCCAGATGCTGTGAGGAATGCAAATAGGAGGTTGGGGCCATTTACTGTTCAAGCCTGGCAGCCAAAGTCATACATAATGTTAGTTAATGAGACTAAAAATGAGCACAAACCTGATTTGAATGATGGTGCATTCATTCAACTTTTATTTCTACTACTGGTCTGGTGTTAAGTTAGGGGCTGAGAAAACAGCTGTGAGTAAAGCAGGTAAAGGCCCCGTAATTCTGGGGTTTACAGCTGAGTGGTGGCTATGGACAGGTAAAAGGCATTTACTTTGGTAACTGCTCATCTGCACAATTTTTTTCTGGTTCTTATTCTTTCTTTTCTATGAAAATGATACATCCTTCTTAAAGAATATTGGGAAAATAGAAAAGGAGATTCAGTTTTAGTGCAAATATTTTATTTATTTATTTATGTATTTAAGAAAATGTGAAAATCTGGCCCGCCCTGGTGGCACAGCTGGTTAAAGCACAGCAGTAAGAAGCTTAAGCCACTTCTGCATGAGTTCTATCCCCGCCTGCCCCGGAAGTGACCACATGGCCAGGCAGACCTCTCCTGACCCGCCCACTGTTTCCCTCAGCAGTGTACTTTGACAGTCTGCCTGTTTGCTCCCCACTCTCTCTGGTGGCTCCTCCCACCCTCTGCATCTCTGGCCTGTACCCCAGTTCTGTATGAGTAAATAAATAAATCTTAAAAAAAAAAAAGAAAATGTGAAAATCTAATAGTTTTCCATAACAGGCTCTTTTTAGAGCCCAAGGGAAAAGGTATTTTAAAAATCTGATTACATTAAATCCAGAGCAGCTAATGATTTTTCCTGTTCCTGACCTATTTTGTATAAGTATCCACTCAGCTTTGCACAGGGTATTGTAAGACTTTGCTTCCCTTCATGGACCTCAAGTTAGGAGAAATAAATTTGCATCTGAGAGACACAACGACTGTCCTTTTTCTGGTTCCCAAAATAGAATCCCTGCCTGCCCTGGAAGGGACAGATTAGGTGAGGCCCACACCAGCCCAACAGTGTTAATGCCTGCTAAATGTCCTGGAAACTTGGGCGTCTAAAAAGAATCATTAACATTTGACAGTGTCTAGCTGCACCCTGCTTTCCCTCTAGTTAAAAGGAAGCGAGCCAGAGTGGAAGTGTGCCAGAGGTCTGGTGGTCTAGTGGAAAGTAAGTATGTTCATAAGTAAGCGGTTTAAATAGGATGAGATTTTTCTGTTTGTTGATATTTCTGTTGTTTTTCAATATTGTTGGTGCAAAAATACAGCATATGCTGTGTTTTCAGTATTCCTGAAGAGGGCATTCAAGGAGGCACTAAAAATTTTGTGAATACAAGATAATTGAATATTGACAGTGATAATTGATAACTGCTAATTGAACATCGAATAGAGACATGCCATGAAGCTTTCAAAAAGTACGATATTTGTGAGACGTTTTTATGTCAGACGAAGATGGAGAACAAGTTCTCTTGCGGTGTCAGAATTTGCTGTTGGAATCACAAAAAGGGATTGGGGAGTGTAAAGACAACTTTTCCTTTACTGGTAATATGTTCTTTTTAAAGGAAATCTGAGCCAAAAATGGTAAAATGGCTAGCATTTCTTAATTCTCGGTGGCACATGCTTGATTTGCAGATTATTAACTATACTTTGAGACTTCTGATCAGAAAGTGTTAAAACCTTTGTATAGGATAGACATAATTAGCCTAACTAATCTCAAGCCTTTATTGGTTAAAAATGGAAAAAAAATTACTTAAAAGGAAGCAAATTGGATAATGCAATGTATTATGCAGTGTTGACCTTTTATCATGGCCCCATTAATTTGATTTTTCATCAGTGGTTCCTTTTTCCCCCCTCATTGTTGCCCCCTATCTTTTTTAAATCTTGATCAACTTAAGCTATCTGTTTTGACAGTCAATAATGTTATTCTCCAAGGAGGCAGGGAGATAGAAAAATTGTGTACAAGGATAACTCTCCCAGAAGATTCTGAGGATTCTCTCTCATCAATTGTGAAAATGTTTAATATGCAAATCCTGCTTGCTCTAAAGCAGTCTTTCAATTTTTGGCATCTTTTAATACAGGGCACCAGAACTTGCACCTCTGAAAAGTAAAATGATCTATGCGAGCTCCAAGGATGCAATCAAAAAGAAATTTCAAGGTATGGTCTGGAGTGATGTCTCCATATTTGCAGATGGTGAGCCCGAGGAGTGGGGTGCCATTTTTTCTAAGGTCCTCTTATTTATTTGGAGAGCCTTGGCCACAAAGGAAGGATATACTCCACCAGTTGATTAAGACCCAGAAGGTAGAACTTTTCTGCCATATTTTAGTTCCTCTGGGCCTGAAATGCCTGTGTTTAATAACCCTGTTTTCTCAACCTGGTATGCCTGTCACTTGTTCAGGCTGGTTTTAAACTGGCTTAAGATGTTGCCAAAGTGGAGACTAATTGGTTTATATTGGCTATTGCGTTTGAATATAGTTGACATAACAAACTCACAAAAAGGAAATGTTCACAAACGAGAAGGGACAGTTGTCCCAGCTTTACTTTTAATGGTGTGATTTTAGGTATTTGACTCAGCTGTATCCAAAGGAAAGTGCCCTCCTTCTCAACAGGCCAGTATCTTTGACTTGCCCTTAGGGCATTGGAATCCTGATGAGAGGGCCAGTGTCCAGCCACAAGAAAATGTTGGTATGAGGGAAAGAGCATGGGGCGAGTGCGAAGGTCTGCACCGAGGGCTAAACTTGTCATCTAACTGCTGAGTGACCTTCGCCAAACTGCTTAACCCTGTGGGCCTTGATTCCCTCCGCTGTAGAATGGGAAGTTTGATCTTGGATTGTGCGAGTTCAGCCAGAGTTGTCCCGCCTCTCTCTTGTCATACTGGCTCCAAAGAGCAGGGCTGCCCAAGGTCACAAAGGCTTGCCCAGTGTGGTTTTGTTTTGTTTTACTATGATTTGTTTTCATATTCTTGTAGGAGAAGGAGAAAAGTTTGCCCTAGCTTGTTTTACTGAGTCAGGAGAACAAAATTCTCTCTCTCTCTTTACTGAAACCTGCTACTACTGTGTAGGTCAGACCTCAGCAAATTCTACATGCACTTGATGTTGGACCAGCCCTACGAAGTGTTACCTCGTGGTTCACTTATGCTTTAACATAAGTCACTGGTTTCATCATTTTCATAACACAAATGAAAAAAATTTAAAGTGTATTCCTTATTTATTATCATTACCCTGCCGTACCTTCTAGTTAAGGGAATTGCTATGTAAATTTGATCTGGTGACATTAAAGATGATCACTTGTACCTTTATTTTCCTAGTGAAGTATCACTGGCTTTCTCTAGCCAGTCCTGGATGCTTCAAAAGACCTTCTTTGCTTTTAGCATTGTAAGAAATGGTCACAAAATTTGGGAAAATTAAAAATAATGCGTTTCTTTAAAAAGAGAACAGCCACTTATAGAGAAGCTACTGTGTAAAATCCACAGTTGACTCTTTCTGCAGTGTTTTGATGTAATTTTTCTGAGAAATCAGCTTTTCATTGTGACACATTTCTTAGATGTATAATATCATGAGAAACCTAACTAGAGTAAGGAAATTCCATTTGTAAAATATTCTTACTCATCTGCACAGTTGGCTAAATCAACTGCTGTCAAAACATTGAATTAAGAGGTTTTCTTATATTTTAAAAATGAAAAATCACTACTGGACCTGCTTTTAAACTTTTTAAAATATATAGCATATCTTTGGAAAAGTGTACATCATAAATTATTATAGAATTCAATGAACTTTCTGGAACATACTGGTCTTTGTACTGACCAGCAACCTGGAAGTCTTGCTCATTAATCACCTTCCAGCCAAACCACTTCCTCTCTCCTCCCGCCACAGAGTGACCAATAGGTTGGCTTTCTAATAACTTTAAATAGCTCTGGCTGGTGTTGTGTTATGTAAGTTGAATCATCTAAAATGTATGTGTGCTTTCTATGTCTGGCTTCTGTGAATCAGCATTGTGTTTGTGAGAGTCATGCAGTGTTTGAGCCATAGTAGCGATACCACTACTGTATGGTACAGCACCCTGTTGTTCGGGGTCCCACAACTCTCTTAGCCATGTTAGACTGGCTTGATTTTAAAACAATCTGGTATCTTCGAGAAAATGAGTACATTACTACCATGATGTTAAATATAATTTTTTTTCATCCCTAGGCATAAAACATGAATGTCAAGCAAATGGACCAGAAGACCTCAACCGGGCTTGTATTGCTGAAAAGCTAGGTGGATCCTTAATTGTAGCTTTTGAAGGATGCCCTGTGTAGATCGCCATTCAGTGCCACAAATCAAAAGCTTCCATGTTCAAATATTATCCTTTTGCAATATAAGTAAAGCAAATATGTTTAGGCCAGGATCTCAGTAAGGGGGAGCTTGTCATCTATTAGAGTAAACTAAGTATTCTATACACATGTGCAGATGGCCCTAAATAAATATAAAACCTAAAGTTTCATCGGTGTGAAATTAAATTCTTATTGGCCAAATGCCTATTTTGATGAGTTGATTATAAAGATTTTTGTTACACACGTGATTTTTAATAATGCAATTTCACAAAACAGTTCAAGGCTGTATGAGGAGAATTATTGCAACTTTGTTAACCTCAGCAGTTACCTACTTTTTGCTTAAATAATGAGACACAATCTGTTATAATTTTGGCCCCAAATTTTTTATTCTCTCTCAAGCTAAACTGAATAATGGAAATATTCTCATAACATGTAACAGCACAAATACACTACCATAGTAAAATTGCCAGATTGTCTTGAAATCCTAACAAGTGTGTAGTAGAGACTCGCCTCAGCCATGTATGCTTTATAACCAGCGCTGATCCTGCAAAGCACTATTTTAAGCACGTAGTAGGCGTAAATGAAACAGCGCCACACTCTCTCCACTCACTGGTTGGAAGACTGTTCTGAGTGACCTTGCATCTTGGAAATCATGATGTGTCCTCAGGAGAATGTACAGTATCGTGTAACAACTAATTACAATGCAAATTAGAGGCCCATGGTAATACACTTCATTAATGAAAATAAGATGGCAAATTACCAAGCTAGGGCACCTGTGATATCCTTGCGTCTCCTCCAGAACTTTGTTGCTTGTGGTACAATAAGGTGTGGAAGAATGTTACATATGTTTACTCTGGGGACTGGGAGAACTTAATTTCCTAGAGCAGTTTGTTAACTGTATGTGAAATGGGGGTTAGGTATGATGGGTGACACCCACAAGAAGCCACTACCTGATGGCACTTGGAAGTGACTGTCTTCAACATCACAGGCAGAACACTTAGAAAAATACAGAGATGCACACACAGTTGAACTTAGAAGTAGCAGTACTGGCTTTATGTAATAAAGGAAGCATTTTTAACTTACCTCCTGTGTAATGATTCACTTGTGAACTGGATCTGGTCTTCCCTATGGGATATGTTGTTGAGATTTGAGTATTTCAGACAATTAAAGGTCATGCCACAGCTCTAGCTCCACTTAAATGAGCAGATATAAAAGTTGGGGATCTTTTTCTTCTTCCAAATGTCAGGCTTTTACCTCTTTATTTGGGAGGCAAAAAAGTTCAGCATACTTTAAGCAAAATATTTTTCAAAGCTGCCTAGAAAAGAGTCCTGGTTACCAGTGTACTGATAAGCTACTTATCATTATGAATTTCTTGTTATCTCCACCACAGAGCTGAGCTTTTTGTGTGACTTTCTGCTACCAACCTCCTGAGAAAGATGTGGTGGGTCCACGGCTGCCTTGCTCAAGAGCCAGTCATGTGGACAGAGCCACGTACTTGGTCAGGGAGTTTTGGGGGTGTCTTGTCTTTGGCTTGAGCCAGTGACATAGGTCACTACTTGCATCCCCATCACTCTGCAGGTGTGTGTGCGTGTGTGTGAGAGAGCAAGAGTGGGGGTGGGGGAGGGAGGAGTGGGAGCGGGGTGCGTGCTGTGCTCTGCATGGGGAGGACTTCAACCTACTGGAATATAATATGTAAACATCTCCCAACACTGCACTCTTATTCCGGAAATTGGGAAGGTGCTAATAGTTAACCTAAATCTTTACATAGGGTAGTTTTGAGAAGACAACATACTAGATTCCTGAGGCTGGGACCCAAGAATCCCGCTAGTAAGCACGCCAGATGATTTTGATGAAAAACTAGCTTTAGATATCAGCTGATATTGGCCAGTTGTAAAAGTGGCAGGTAAGTGTATTTACATTTTTACAAGTGTTAACACATTGCAAAAATATTTGTAGGAAGGAGACTTTAGGGTTCATCTAATGGCTACTCTTTGCCCTGAGAAAGAAGCAAATAATGCTAAGGGAAATCCAGAACTTAACTGGCTTGCCATTTCAGAAATTACTGATCTCCTAGAAAGCCATGAGCACAATCACTTGAATAATAGACGGAGGCTTTGTCAAGTGGTTTTCTTTTTTGTAGAATGTCCAGAGTGCTGGCTGGTCCACACACAGGAAGTTCAATTTGTTTCTTGACTAGGTTGTTGCTTTTATCGTGACTGTCAAAGACTGGGCACAAGAACATATGACTTTCTCATGATTTGGGACATTTCTAAAATACGGTATCTGAGTTGCAGCTGGGAGGGTCGTTAGTTGCATTGTGGCCAGGAGAGGGAATGCACCAGGAGCCAGGGCTTCTGTGAAAGGCACCTTTGTCTAACTCAGCTGGCCAGGGCTCCCTAAGGGTCTGCCCAGTCTCAGGAGGGCAGTGGGAAAGGGACGCACCAAACCACTGCCAGTTCTGAAAGGTAACTTGCCTGCAGCCACACATGTGGCGAAGTGAGGACAACAGCTTGGGTCTCTTGTTTTTGGTGTTAAGCTGTTCCAGGTAACCCTGGAAAGTTCTTTATTTCTAACATCTGATATTCTAAGGTTAGCTTTTTTTCAGTACCATGGATGAGACTTGAACTGGAGCACAAGGAAAATAGCCCCTAGGGCTTTGAATCTTCTTATAATTAAACCTAGAGGAAACTCGGAGAAGGCATTTACGGAGGGTGTACAATGGTTTCTGAAATCTTGCCCCCCCACCCTCCTCTCCATTACCAGAAGGTACTATAGGCCTGGCGTCTTGACACTGCGCATTTAAGTATTAGGCAGATGACCAGAGAAAGCTGGTGCAAAGAAAAGCACTTAAGAGGCTGAAACTTGCAGGTCTCTGGGGTGCTTATTTATGGGCTGTGTGACCCTGTAGTTTCAGGTCCATTCTAGGGCCTCTAAATGGAGGCTTTACACTACATGTTCTCAAAACTCCTAGCTCTGATCCAGGCTGTCTGAGGTGCAGCAGCAGCCCCAGCCCCCGCTGCTCGTGAAACCAGGCCTAGGGACAACGTATCTTCCTGCTTCCACATAGAACTTCATTCCAAGGGACAATCAAGCCAGCATTTCGAGAGCACTGCACGTCGGCAGGACAGGGACCAAGAATGGCAAGGCTCCTGGGTGTCTGTACCGTGCTGAGAACACCAAGGCACTTATAAACCTCTTGTGCCGGGATCCACCCAGGGTAGCTGACTCAGATATGTTCCTAACTGGCTCTTCCTTCCTTCCCCAGCCTAAGGATGAAACTTTGCCCAGGAATAATTGTTGGCCACCAGGTCAGGCTGAGTCAAGGCCCAACAGGCGTGGCAAACTCAGGCTCCCTCTGCTGGCCTGAAAGATAGCACTGCTGGATCCCAGGACTGCTAAGCACTTGCTGGGCAGGAGGGAGAACAGATAGGACCTTGGGCTACAGGAGAGACACCTCCAAACTGATCTTCAGAACCCCCAGGTCAGTGCCCATGGATTCCTAGCCCTCGCACGGTGCCTTTGTCTTACCTCCTTTCCTATGGGATGGTAGGCCTGTCAGGTGGTCTGAGAGACCAGGGCTGTAGTCAGAATCTACTACACCCATTATAATCTAAAAGCAGCAGCTTGGTGGCCCCAGGGCCTTGTGCTCATCTTTCTCCCTCATTTCTATGCCAAATCAGAGGCATGCCCAAGTAGTTCTTATTTCTGTAGCTGCTGGGGCAGGGGGAGGGAGCTTGCTGGAACAAGATGTTCATGCATACCGTGGTCCCTATGAGGCAGGAGTCCAGATATGGGGCACGGGGCTGGCCAACAGGAAACTCACCAGGGCCCCAAGCCACTGACCTTCTGTAAGGCTGTTGCTATGTGCAAGGTGAGGATGTGACCCCCACAGGGCCAGTCTACCACTGCTGAGGCACAGGAGGGGCTGTGTGTGGGGGCCATCCATGGTGCTCAGTTCACACAATTGTCCAGGCGCCCACAGCCCTGCTCAGGCAGGCCACCTCAGATTTCAAAGGTGGGTACTGTGGTCAACACCTGAGTTCCTGTGAGCTGGCTGCTAGCTGCCACTCATGGGCTACTGTGATCTATTTGCCATCTGCAAATCCCAGCAGAACATTCCTTGACCACTGTGGAGTATAGCACGTTATCACGAGGCAGGCCGGGAGACACCTAGTCTGCTGTTGACCTGATTACATGACTGCCTCCATGGTGGTCTCAGGATAACTCTGGCTGTGATATCATACTTTGCTGATGCAAATGTCTCCTGAAGTATGGTCATGATGTCCCATGGTTGTGATATCCCCTTCCCTGTCCCTTGTAAAACTGTCCCCCATTACACTAAATGTCACAAGAACTTCTTGCCTTGCAAACCTGCTCCACGACTGCTGTGGCCCTTACTGCACTCCTGCCACAAAGCTGCAACAAAGTTCCTGTCAAAACAAGTACCATCTGGTCACCAGGTATCCCAAGGCCCTGATCCCTTACTCTGCCCTGCAGTCTGGGGGCATGAGGAGTTTCACCACACTCTAGACATAACTGCCAATTCTCTGGTTTCGCAGGCACTAAGAACTATGCTTGGTTTGTTATTTCCTGAGGGAGCCAGGCCCTCTTCTTTTTCACCTTAGGCCCAGCAGCCAGCCAGATGAGGGAGCCCCAGTAGAGACCACACGAGACTGCAGCACCAGCGACAATGTTGGTTTTAATGGCATTAACATCCAGGAGGTCACACATCAGTTGTGATTGGCAACTTCTTCCAGGGGTGAAGGGCTGCTGCCTCGCTGGGCTGGTTCTCTCAGTCTGCGGCACAGCCCCCAAGACTCACCACCCGGTCTGCCCACCTCCTGACCCTCGCCCCACTGAAAGACAAAACAATTGCACTGATTGACACAGAGATACCCAGAGGTCCCGGCCTCCCCAGCACACACCCTGGGGTCTGTCACAGAGCTGATAAGGGCTTTGGCGTCTGCTGGCGGTAGTCCAGGGCTGGTCCTGGGGAATAGTGTTTATCCAATGTGACAAAGGTTCTTTTACCAACGGGGTTCTGTAAGATCTATTTCTGTGGTTCTAAGAGACTCCTGTCTCTAATGGCTTCTTTCAGAGCTACCGGAAGTTGGGCCTGGATAACGCTGTGTTGGTCGGTTTATTTATTTGTAAGGAATGTGTAAGGCATTTTGGTAAGTTGAACAGTAACTTCTTTTCCCACACAGAGGAGTTTCAGACCGAGGTGCCCTCCTTTGAGTTGCTACTGTCCTCCTACAAACAAAGACAGACAGAGTGAGGAAAAGGATGGAGGTAGGGAGTCAAGGGGAGCACTCACCTCCACTTCCTAGGTCCCAGCCCCCCACTGCACCAATACCCCCACACCATTCTGGTGGAGCTGAGGATGAAGACAAGGCCTGGAATCTGGTGAGGGCTGGCAGCAGGGTCAGGGTGTGCTTCTCCCCAAGGTGGTTGGGGGGGAAGGGGGTTGCCAGCCGCCAGGGAAAATGCCCGATGCCTTGCATGGCCAGGACACTCACTGTTTTGTCCAGCTGCTCCTGCAGCTTTCTCACTGTGTCTTTCTCCTTTGTGAGCTGCTCCTGGGTTGTCTTCAGAAGTTCCTGCAGTTTGGTGGCAGCGCGTCCCAGATCACTGGTTAACTTCTTCTCTTTTTCTAGTCTCTCCTGTGGGTCAGAGAATTGAAGGGGTCAACCTTCACATGACATGAAGCAGGTAGGCCTCGAGCAGTGCCCGGCGCCCTTTGAGCCGCACGCTGACAGGCAGACGGCTGTCTGCATACTGCTGACCCTAGGGCTGCCCTGTCACCTCCCAGTGCAGCAGCAGACGCCCGCCCCTCCGGCTCAGCTGTCCCCTCCCGTGGCTGCGAGCTCCGTGCCCTCCCTCATTAAACTGGACTTGCTTGAGGGGCCCTGAAATAGCTCCTGTCCCATTTCCACCCTGGTCGTAGTAATAGGGAACAGGTGCTCAGGCCTGGCTGGGTGGGCGCCCCCCTTTCTGGCTGTAGAGTAGATGCCACCCTGCCTGTAGAGTAGATGCCACCCTTTACCTTCAGCTGCAAGGCCTCTGCTTCTGATGACGTGAGTGGGCTGCCGCTGCGGAGCTTTTCCAACTCTTCTTGTAGTCGACACGCTGAGTTCTGAGCCTTGGCGGAGAAGACAATGAGGTTAGCAAGAAGGGGCCTCAGAACTCCCAAGTCCTCTTGGGAACAGAAGGGCACCCCAGCCTGAATGGACAGGTTAAGCTGTCACCAGATGACCAGGTGGAGGCAGGAGACCTGTTTATGAGGGGACACCCCAGGGGAGGGCCAAGGCCCACCCCACCAGCCAGAGCCCATAACTGCTCCTGATGTGAAAGGTTTGAGATTCTGGCCCCAGAGCCAACGTGGGGGGGCTGGGGGGGGGGCTGCCTAACCTCCTCAAACTGGACTGAGAGCTTCTGCCGCCGGGTCTGCTCGTCCTCCAGGACGGCTTCTGTCCGCTTCAGCTGTGTTTTTAGCTGCATGGAAACATCAGGGTGAACATACTCTGGGGACCCAGGCGGAAGATCTTGAGGTTTCACCTTCTAGTTTGCCTCCAAAGTTCCTCGGCTTTCCCCTGCCTTGGTCGGCTGAGGTGGCCTCTGTCTGTCCACCAGTGAGCCAACTGGGTATGTCCAAATTTGCCCCTTGTGGAGATGATGCTCAGCTTCACTACAGAAGCTGATGTGGTGGGCAAGCTGTGGTGATGGAGCCTCACTGATTTCAAGCTTCTTTGATGAGTCCCAAAGGGCAAGGCCACCTCAAGAGTCACTGCACATGCCCAGCCCCACAGCGATACGCCCACCCAGGGCCACACCGCTGCTACCTTGGTGACAGCCCTGAGCGGGCTCTCAGGGGCAGCTCCTTGGAATGGCAACAGGGTGCAGCCGCCGCTAATGCCAGCATCCCAGCAGCAACAGTGGGAGATGAGAGCCACGCTCACACCCAGCTGTGCTACTCCCTGCCTCCCAGAGCTCCCGAGGTTAGGACAACGCTCCCATCTGGCCACTGTCCCGGCCCCTTCCTCTGTTCTGTGACTTCCTCAGCACCCAGGCACCCAGTCAGGGGATGTGGGAAGGCGGTATAAATGCAGCAGGTCGCTGGTGTCCTGCCAGCACAGAGGCCTGCCAGCCTTGGCTCCAAATGAGGTGAGGGGGATCACATATGGGCAGTTAGTAAGAGATCTGGGGACCTGCTCACCGCCCTAACCTCGATGGGGTCCTGCTCAGCTGAGGGGGCCTCTGTGGGCGCAGCCAGGGACCCAGCTACGTCACCATCCTCTACGTGGCTCTTCATCTCACTCAATTGCTGCCTGACCTGAAACAGGGAGGGGTGGGTTTGTGCAAATACACAGCCAGACATGCCCGCCTTGCACAAGCTCACACACACAGACCCCCTCAGGTGGACTGCAGATGCTCCTCAGGGGACCCAGTGTGGAAACTGTGACTCTGGCAGCTGCCACTTTAAGTTTCCTGGGGCAGGGAGCCAGTGACGTGACCCTTCACGGAGCCAAACAGAAGCCTGAGGGCCACTGAGAGGTCCGGCTGACCCCACACCGAGACCCCTGCTCTCTGGACCAAGGGCCAGCTATCTGGAGCCTCCCTGGGCAAGGCCCCTGACAGATGCAGTGCACAGAGCAGATAAATCCAGAACAAAGTACAAGGTGACCAGCAGGAGCCGCTCTAACAGTGCCTGGTGCTGGTTCCTCCAAGATGCGAGCTACCATTCAAAGCCCTGTTGGGGGTCTGGAAAAGGACATTCTAGCCTAATAAGGTGCTCCACCCTTGAGCTCCACCACCAAGGGTGGGGGCTCTGGTACCAAGGCCCTAACCCTCAAATCTGGAGGTAGTGTCACCTGTGAAGACCAGGTAAAGTTTCTAGTGGGAGACCTGGAGCAGCGGTGACACAGATGCCCCAGGGGCCCCACCCACAGGGCACAGCTCCAGAGATGCCACTAGTACGTGGGGTCTGCCTGCACGCTTCTCTCCCTCCGTCCAGTCACCGAGTCCAGAAGTCTGATGATGAAAGTTTCAGGGGGTGTTCTCTGTACCTGCCCCAAATCTAGACTGTACCCAGATCCGACTTTAGATGGTGGTGTGGGTGAGTAGCCCTTGGGCTCAGGCAGGGACGTGGTCTGGAAAGCCCTGCCCTCTGGTTTAACGACTCTGGGTTCAGAGCGAGTGACTGGGGAGGGAGGGAGTCAAGAGCGCCGAATCCAGTGGAGTGGTGGTTCGAGGCTCAGCGATGGAAGTGACTCCCTCGAAATCTGACCTTCAGTCTCTTCTCAGAACACCAGGCACATCTGCACTCAAGCCTCCCGATCTGTAAACGCTGACAACTAATGGGGTTCACAAAGACTGCACATCAGGCAGGATGTCTGTGACCATGCAGTTACTGTCTGCAGCCCCAGCCAGGAGCCGCCATGGGGTAAGGCCATGGGGGAGACCAGACTGAACTTGCCAAAACACGAGCAGGAAGCCACTGCTCAGGGGCCAGCATGTCTATGAATGGGGCACCTGGTAATGCCAGGCTGCGAGCAGGCCTCCCGGCACATACAGGTGCAGCTGAGCCGGTCTGACCCACAGGTGAGATGGGAAAGGGCCTGCGTCCGCCAGAGACATGTACTGGGAGTCACAAAGTGGCCAAGCTCAGAGGGGCCCAGGGACACGCCAGGCTCACAGGCAGTCAAACCCCACAAACTGCTGGCACCTAGGCCAGCAAGCAGGCTGTACCACAGGAGCCAACAAGTAGAACGTGGTCCTGGCAGCCACAGGCCCAGCAAACATGCCAAGAGCCCCTCAGCACACGCAATCAGAGCCCAGCCCAAACAGCTACATCCCTCTGCCACACCAAGTAACCTTGAGTGGGGTAGAAACACACACCTGCCAGCTTCAGCTCACATTCACACAACCCTACGTCACACTGCCCGCCCGCCAGCAACTTCACTCACCAGGGCAAGCTCATTGCTTTTTTTCTGGGCTTCATTTTTGGCTGCATCCAACTGAGATTGAGACTCTAATAAAAGTTGCCTCAACTGGAAGGAAAACAGACCCAGGTGTTGTGGGGGAAAGGAGACAGAAGAGAAAAGCAGGCCTGTGAGTTCACAGCCAACACATTCACATAACCCAAACAACTGCAGTACGGCTCCCTGGCGCCCCACGGCCACCACTGCTGTTTGAAGACTGAGGAAGGTCAGTCTCCACTGCACACGTCAGTCTGAGGCCTCCTCGGAGGTTGCTCTCACACAAAATATAAGGCTAGAGTCTGAGGTCAAAACAGAATCGGGGGGAATGGCAGACTTGTGCCTCTTACTTCGGAACAATCAGATAGCAGTATCATTTAAATCCATACCTGTGCCCCGCTGCCAAAAATGCCCCTGCCAAGTAGATAATTTGGCAGCTGCAAGCATGGCCTGGCTTTACCCCACCCTGTGAGTGCTGCCACATTTCTAAATCTGCCCCCACTGTGACACCCTCTTAAGTCTGATGGCCAAGGCCCAGGGCAAAAGGCTGAGTGCTCACACTTTGAGCTCATACTTAGCAGCAGCACTGGGCAGGCAGAGACGCCCCAGAGAGAGGGGCCACAGGCCTGTGCAGCCACTCACCCCTGCCACCTCCTTGGCGTAACTCTTGACACTCGGCGCTGGCTGCTGCCAGCTCCGCCTCCAGATTCGATGTGTGCTTCCTCAACCGGATGTGCACACATACATCAGGGCCCAGCACACACCCAGGGAATGGGGTGATGGGGCCTCAAGTCTGGGTGGCCCCACAGGGCTGAGATGGGCCCTCCCCAATCTGTTGGTGAATGGTCAGCTGAAGCCAGGCAGAAATGAACAATGACGGAGAAGACCTTGCTGAAGTGGATACCCCAACTCCAGCACTGCTGGGTCTGGACATAATCTCACACCCCAACAGTGGGGACGAGCTCTCAGACTGACTTTCTAGGTAGACACCAGGACTTCCCTCTCAAAGGCAGGGCTGACGTATGGAAAGGAGCAGCGGGGTGGTGGCACACACCTCCCCCGGCTCAGAAGGCATGGCAGAACTGCTGGCTACCAGGACTGGGCCTGTTGCCAGGGCCACGCTGCTTCAGGCTGCTCTGAAGTGGCAAATAACTCTCATTATGGAAAAGCAGGACTGACAAGATTGTGGACCATTGGGGAAAAAGAAAGGCATCTCTGATTGATGTTTCTCTGTGAGGGAAGCAAACCTCTGAGCAGAGCTCCCCACATACCTGGTCTGAACTTTCCAGTTCTCCTCTTTGTTTCTCTAAGGTCTCTTCAAGATGCTTCACTTTGAACAGTGACTACAAAGCAAGGGGAAGGCCATCAAAAAAGGCCCTGAGGGGGATTTGTGCCAGGATGTTGTCTCCATCTCCTAGGAAGCAGGCAGGGGACACCCCTTAAGCAGTACTCTGCAGCCTCTTCCTGGGACTTGGTATCATTCAGCAATTGTACTGTACACAGCAGCACCAAAACCCAGCAACCTGACTCCAAGTGACCCAGTTGAAGGGCACTAGTAAATTCTGTTTGAATTTCTAGGGAAGTTGGGCCCGTGGAGCGAGGCTCCTGTGGCTGGACCTTGGGGAGGGCCGGGAGGCCTGTCTTGTACCTTTTGCAGCTCTTCCTCTTTGGTGTTCAGCTTGATCTTCCACCCCTGCTCCTCTTCCTCCACACTCTTCTGCAAGTCTTGCAACATGCCCTCCTGGGGGGACAGGGTGCTGAGGCAGGCCCTCTCCTCAGAGGCCCCATCACACGTAAACACACGCCACATCTCCCTGTCCCCTTGGCTTCTCTGGAATGATGCCTGGCTGCCTGGGTGTGGCCCTGCTCTGACCCGGTCGTGTGTCAGGTGAGGAGGAAAGGTATGCCACAGTAGGCCTCCAGCCAACATGTGAACACTGGCTGGGGTCACACAGGAGAATCAAGTCTGTGACCCAAATGCTCATCTTTTTTGGGTTTGAGACTAGCACTAACCTTATCAACGGCCCAGAATGTGAAACACCAAGTGGGGTAGTTTGGACCAAGAGGCCTGGACTCAGTATGGCTCTTGAGTCAGTCAAATGCTCACCTTGTTCCTTCCCAGACTCTTCCTTGTGATAAACAGTCTCTCCTACCCCTGGGGCTAGCCCCAAACCTGAAACTCAACTCTCTCCTCAGCTTAGAAGCAAGGAAGACCCATACTCCTTAGATATTCCCTTTACTGTTCAACCAAAGAAATGGAGCCAGAGAGGAAGGACCTGCTCAAGCTTACACAGGGCCACTGTGTGAATACAGGGCTTGGGGTTAATTTCCCAGGGGACAGTGGGGCTTTTCCATGTCACCTCCCTCCTGGCCTTCCCTAGACTCCTCCTTCCTGATGCCTCTCCCAACCCCCTCCTCCAGGTACCGTATGTGCCAGGATGGTGCGGTACTTGTCACACTCAGCCTGCAGGGTACTCTGGGTCTCCTCAGCCTCCCTCAGTTTGGAAGCCAGATCCTGAGGGTAGAGGGCAGAGCAGAGCACAGTCAGGTTAAGTAAACACAAAGGCTTCTCCCTGGAGCCCAAGCTCCCACCTTCTTGGAAACAGGGGAGAGACAGGTGACAGTGGTGGCCCTGCCGAAGGCACAGGCTGGCACCTGGGCTTACCGAGGAGGGCTCTGTGTGAGTCGGTGACTGCGTCAGCAGCTTGGCACCTTTTTCTTTGAGTTCCTGCAGCCACTTGGTGTAATTCTGCAACAAAATGTATGAATGGGGCCCGGGCAATAACATTCCTTGTGATGCTGAGTGAGAGTGGTGTGTGTGTGTGTGTGTGTGTGTGTGTCCGTGTCCGTCCGTCCGTCCGTCCCATGGGACCACCCTCAATAACATTCCTTGTGTGTGATGCTGAGTGAGAGTGTGGGGTGTGTGTGTGTGTGTGTGTCCGTCCCATGGGACCACCCTCCCCTCCTACCTGCTGTGCTGAGTCGCAGAGTTCAGGGAAGAGAGACAACAGGGCCTCCTTAGTCTGGGCCTCAGTCTGACTGCGCTGCTTTTCTGATTCCTCCTGGAAGAGGGGAAAAGGGAGCCATTTAGCCTTGGAGGTTTAGGGAACCCCCCTGGGAGCGTTCATGGGCCTCTACCCATGGGCTGGGGCAGGAGCAGGAGAGAAGGCAGGTGGCTCTGTGAAGCTGAGGCAGGTGGTGGTGGTGAACATCTGGCCACCCCTGCCTGCTGGGTCAGTTGCCAACAGTCTCAGCATTAACCAAGGGGGCAGCGGCCGGCCCACAGGCAGTGCCAGGTGCTTCCCACCAACTACAGTATCGAAGCAGCCGACAGATGCTTGGGCTCAACGAGTCTCGGATCCTAAGTTCTGGCTGGCATGTATAAGTGTCTGTGCACGTGTATATGTGCTAGCCCGCACACACTGGCATGCCCTGTCCCCCTGAGGCTCCCATTCACAGCATGAGAAAGGAGTGGAAGGAGAGCTAAGGATAAGCCCAGACTGTGGTGTGCCTGGGGACACCCCTCCCACAGCCTGGGTGGGAGCCCCAGGCATGCTGGCTCAGAGTCTCCTTTGGTAACCTGGACGAATAGGCTGAGCCTGTTGCCAGCCCGAGGCCTGGCATGCCCTGAAGTCTAGGAGCGCATTAGGAATGCAGGATTAGCACACTGAGTGGTGGTCAGAAGGTGCACATGGAGAGCGGCGGACGCCTGGCCCGACCACAGCACCACGTGGTCTGCATCGAGTCTCGGAAATGAATTCTTCAGTCTGCTGTTGATCTGACTTCTTGACCACATTCAGCACTCACCCCACATGCCTTGTGGGATCCAAGGCAAGTACCAGAGGTCAAAGACCAGCTCATGTCTTTGTCTGGCTGCACGACCATGAGCGAGTCAGGTGACATCTCTGGTCACAGCTTCTGCCTTTGTCACAGAAGACCAGTCTCTGTGGTGACCCGAAGACCGCCCTCTAGCTCCCGCCACCTCTCGGGGGCCTCATCTAATGCAACCCTCGGGCTTCCTGTGATCCATGTTCCAGCAAAGCTTCCCGACAAACAAACATTCCTTCTGCATGATGGGCCAGGAGAGGAAGACTGGCTACCCCCAGGCCTTTCCATCAGGGCCAAGGATGGTGGAGCCCTCACTTGCGGCCATTGTAGACCATGTCCAGACCTGAGCCTCAGTGCTGGCCCCAGGACCCCAGACGCTGAGACGCCCACATTCCGCCCATGCGGGCAGCGCAGAGCACAGGTCCCTAAGTGCTTGCTGCTAAGGATGAACATCCTCTCTGTGACTGACTATACAGATCAACCATAGACACAGACCCCAAGAGGTCATGATTAGGTGGACAACAGAATTATTCAAACAGAATATCAGGGGTCAAAAATAACACGAGGAAAGTCCATGAAGACAGCCAACCTTGGGCTCTCTCAAAGCAGGTGGGCTCATGGCCCCCTCAGCCCTTCAATTTCTGCCCCTGATGTTAAGGGTGTTGCTGAGTAAAAGCAACCAAAAGGGCATTATTCCTCCTTCATTTAAAAGCCAAATAGAAGGGAGGGAGGAAGAAGGGAGAGCAAGTCTATGCCTTGGCCCCTGGCATAGATTTCTGAGCTCAGAGTCAAGGCTGCTCACGTAGTTTAAGTTCTGTATGCTTCATCAAGTCTGGGAATGGGGGAGGCTCTGACCTTGGCCTGGGTCAGGGAGCGCAGCTTCTCCTCACAGGCTCTCTCTGCTGAGGCCAGAGCTTCCATCGCCTTCCAGTTCTTCTCTCGAAGGTCCTGGGAGGTGACAGTGAAAAGTGAGCAGGCAGAAAAATGTCAGCTGTGGACACCTGCCCCTAGGAGCTGCCTCAGCTGGTCTTCCAGGGCAGGGCCCATGGACACACTCTGGACCCCTTGGGGTTCCACAAGGGAATAACAGGCCCTTTGGCCTACCCCACACAGCCTCTCACAGCCAGAGCTCCACAGCTAGATGTGCAGTAGTCAAGGCTTGGCTGTAAGGAGGCAAACTCCCTTCCAGGGACTCTAGTCTGAAGGAGATAAGAGGGGGCTGGCTTGCCTCTTCAGAGACAGAAAGCCCTGCCTCTGGCACAAGGAGGTACAAGCCAGGGACTCCCCTCAGGGGTAAACGACAGAGCAGCTTTGATAAACCAGAGCTCTTTTGAGGGCTGGTAGCCTGGAGTGGGGACATGGCCAAGGCGGCTCTACACCCCACATGAGAGGAGCTTTTCCATTGCCTGCTCTTGACCCAGCTTTCCTGCTCCAGGGAACCACGTGACCCACATCAGGCCAACAGGCACATTCTGCCCCATTGCAGAGAATGGCTCCTTGCTTGGGCATAAGCTCCACATATCCAGTGGGTGTCAGCCTTGGAACTTCTGAGACCTGAGGGGGAAGGCAGCAGGAGTCCCCACACCCCCACCTAGGGAGAGGCAGACCTTTAGCCACAAGTGGGACAACAGAATGCAGGAGGTAGCTGAGCACCATGTGGCTAGTGACTAGGCGCAGGTACCAGGAGGCCTGGCTGCACACTGCTCGGTCTGCTCTCTCTGCCCCACTCACTGCCTGATACTCACGTTGTTCTTCACTTTCTGCTGCTCCACTGTCTCCTTGAGCTCAGTGGCCTCCTTCTCCAAACATTTCACCTGAGACTCCAGCTCCTTGAGACTGAAAAAGACAGCAGGGTCACTTCCAGGTTCAGAGGGCCCTGGCTCCTGGTAGGGCCCCCCTTGACAAGGCCCCTTCCACTGTTGCGGCATCCACCTTCACCAGAGCACATGCCAGGTCACCCATAGGCCCAACCCTCCCCTGCTTCCTCTACCTCAAAGGCACAGCTGTCAGCGAAGCCTGGACACAGACCCCAAAGTCTGCCGGAGTCCCACTGGGGGGCATCCACTGCCTGTCAGCTGAAGGCCTGGGGCCATATCTCATCCCAGGGACGGCCCTCTGCCATGGCTGCCAGGACCACCGCACAAAGCCATCTACTCAGGGGCCCATGCTCCAGCGGTGACAGTCTCAAGGACTAGCCCCCTGAGTAGAGTTGCCAGACCTGGGTGTCACCTCTGGTTTTAGCAAGAACAAACAAACAGGTGCCAGCCTGGCCCTGTGCTGGGCTGCTGACACCGAGGGAATCTGCAGTGGTATGGCCTCTGTGACAAAAGGCAAACTATTCTGTGACTTAGGAGGCTCTGAACTACACCAAAGTCCCAAAAATATGCAAAATGCCTGGATGACCTCCCAGATTTTTCACTCTGGGTGTACAACTGTTTTTCCTACTTGATTTATGGCCTTGGGCCCTAAAAGTCCCTCCATGGAGCACCCCCTGACAGCTAGGCCCTTCCCACAGAGAGACGGAGGTGGCTGGCAGGCGGCAGAAGGCTCATCTCCACACAGATGAGTCTTGCTCCCCAGGAGGAGGCAACGGTATTTGCTAGGCTGCCTTCTTGCCTGTCCTATGTCCTCAGTCACTGGACGGATGGGGTAGGCAGGGGTCTCTGAAAGGGCTCTTCCCCATGTCGACAGCCCCAACTCCAGGGTCCTGCGCTACCCATTCTGAGGGCCCCAGTGCTCTATGCTCACTTACCGAGCCTGCTGCTGGTCAGTCTCCGCTTGGCTGGCCTGGAAGGAGACAGAAAACTTGGCTACCATGAGCCAGCTCTCAGGAAGAGCTCCTCGGCGCAGCTCCCACTCAATTCACAGTGTTCTCTCTCCCCTCCAGCCACCTACTGACCTGGGCATCCCGGGCTTGGCCTGCCTCCAACAGGGTCTCAATAGACCGGATTCTTTCTGTGAGCTGTGAGTTCTCCGCCCTGGCCTCCTGGAGCTGTCCATGGAGACCACTTAGCTCCTGGCACTTGTTCTTCACCTCAGCCTCGGAGGACTGCAGTTTGCTGTGCAGCTCTGTGGCAGAAGGAGGGGGTGGGGGCGTGGCAAGAGCAGGTGAGGGGTCGGAGATGCTGGAATAGACACCCCTACCACTGTCCCTTGGCACACAGGCCTCTGAAGCCTCCCTCCGTTGCCTCCTCTGTGTGCTGGGGGCTATCAGAAGTCACCCCTGCTTTTTGTTCTCCAGGACTCTTGAGGGTAGAATGGCAAGCCACCAGATGACTCGGGGAGAAATGATGGGAGCCTAAAGTGGATTTCAGTTGGAGTTTCTATGAAGTTCTTCTCTAGCCGATTGGTCCGTTATTACTAAGAGCAGGGAGACATACCCAGAAAGTCTTTAGAAAGTAACTCTGTTGACCCCACTGGCCACAGCTGCCCCACCTTTCAATGTCAGCAGGGCCTGCCCTAGACACCTCTTCTCCTGGGGTGTTGTCCTCTCCAGTGACCTCAGATAAGTCTCTTGTCATCAGAGTCTCTGTCTCTGAAGAGCCCCCAGTCTAATCTCACCCTCGAGCCCAGGCTCAGCCACCTGACACTTCCAAATAAAGTCCTGCTCAGCTATGAAGCCCAGCAAGCCCCAACCTCCGAGTCCTCTAGTCCCGCTCCCCCGCCTCTCACCTCCACCTATCATTCACTGTCTGCTAAGTCCTCCCCACTCACCAGCACCCCTGTGGACACCTGGACCCAGGCTTTTAGCCTGGCAACTACAAAAGTCTCATTCTTCATCCCCTTCTGGGCCATTCTCTACCCAGGGCCAGAGAGAGCTATGCAAATGGATTTGCCATTCCCCAGCCCCAACAAGCTACAAGCATTCTCAAGCCACTTCACACAGTGCCCACACATCCACCACAATGGCCGCTTGTCTGCCTTCATGTTCCAGTCATGGTCACTGGCCTCTATTTCTAATACAGGCCAATTCAGGCACTGTGTCAGCTGGTTGTGCCCACCTTTTCTTGTGCTTTGTGAGGCCTGCCCCTTCCCACCACCCAGCCTTTAGCGTAAACATACTTTGCCTCCAGGAGGCCATCAGGGCCACCCAATCTAAAGCCACACCTGGTCCATTAGAGTGGGGGCTATGGGCCACCATCTGTTTGGGTAAAGGAAGCCAGCATGTAGCGAGGTAGGACTGTTCACATTTTGTTTAGAGCTGCCACTTCACTACAGCAGCAGAGCTGAGCAGTCGTGACAGATACTGTCTGGCGCATAAAGCCAAAAATATTTACTACCTGGCCCTTCACAGGAAGAGCTTGCCGAGCCTGCTCTGGGTCACACTAGCTATGTGAAGTCTGTCGAGCACAGGCCTGTGTGACCCCGCCAGCGCCTGCCTATCTCCCAGATGGGCCTGTCTCTGTTAGAACATGGCCCGCTGCTCTGGGTGCCCAGACAGTGGTCAGCTTGTGGACCTCAGGAGCGCTGCTGAGCAAGAGCATCCAGCTGTGCTTGGTGGCCATCGGTGCCCCCAACCTCACCATCTCTGCTCACAGTAAAGGTGGCCTGTGAGCGCAGGAACCACAGGCATACCTTCCAAACCTGGCATCTCGGGCTTATTCAGCAGGGAGAGCAGAAAGGTCCAGAAGGAGTCAGCTGAGAAATCCAGCACCAGCTTCAGGAGGCCTCAGCACACCTGTAGCTATGTTCCAGAAGGGCCCTCACCTCTACTCCCTACCCCAGCCCTACCAGGCTCTGCCCCTCACCAAGACTCACTTGCCACACCTGCCCTTGCAGGTTCTAACTTCTTTCCCATTCTTCACAGGATCCACCTTTCTGGTCCTCAAGGTCCCAACCCTCCCTTCCCCAGTCCCTTCCTTGTAGGGCCCACCGCGCATCCATCCCTCCAAGGCACCACTGCCCACAAGCCCAGCCCGCCTGCGGCTGCTGGACTCATATGCCTCCAGCCCTGCCTTGCTGAATCTGGGGGGCAGTCAGTGATCCTATGCTACTCTCACTCACTAAGGCTGGCCTTTCCAGTTTTTTCTTTTTCAATACTTGTGTCCTCCTGGATCTCTAACACTTCCTTTTTTTTTTTTTTTTTTTTTAAGATTTATTTATTTATGCATATAGAACTGGGGTACAGGCCAGAGGTGCAGGGCCAGTGAGAGGATTCACCAGAGACAGAGTGGGAAGCAGAACAGGCCAACTGATGAAGTACACTGCTGAGGGGAGCAGCAGGCAAGACAGGAGAGGTCTGCCGTGCCATGTGGGTCACTCTCCTGGCTGGGGATCAAAGAAAGAGCTCGCTTTAACTCGTTGCGCCACCAGGGAGGGCCCAAGGCTGGCCTATTTTTATGGGTACTGGCCTTGGCAGTGGGGCAGAGGTGGGTGCGCCCTGAACCCTGCATAGACCCTGCTAGCTGCCTGGAGTCAGGTGCCTCACCGGCCATCTGCTGCTGCTGCTCCTGAGCCTTCTCAGCATCTGCCCGGAGGCTGGCATGGCTGGTCTGTGAGCGGCAGAGCTCCCGGCTGACCTCATCCAGGCGCTTCTGCAAGGCTTCCTCGTTCTCCTTGTGAGATACCTGCAGGCGGGGCAAAAGGGAGTGGGCAGTGAGGGTGTGGTGCTGACGTTCAAAAGGACAGAGAGCTCTTTACACCCTTTGAATAAAACCTGTATACTTTTATAAAGCCGTCCTATGTTTCTAAAGTCATTCATCCACTGGAAAAGACAGGAGGTCCAGGCCCTCTCTGACCCCTGGAGAGCTGGATCACCAAGGTGCTTGAGGTGAAGAAACAATAGTCACAAAAAAGAAAAAGCCCTATTTCCATGTCATTGTGACACAGAAAGATGCTTCTTACAACCTCTACTTTAGTCTAAATTGGAGACTTCCTAAGGACCCTTGTAAAGTTCATGTTCATTTGGCTCTTTTTCTGTGCAAGGCCAGGATTCAGGCACACTGTATGTGTCAGCGTGGTTAACCCCAGCCACTCCCAGAACAGGTACTCTGTCCAGGCTGCACTCAGAGAAACTGAAGCTCTGGAATCCAACATCTGACACTGTCAACGCCAGGAGGCATGACAAAGCAGTTGTACACCCCTGGCCAGCTACCTTTGAACCTTTGAACCCTACCCAGAACCTTTGGTATTAGAGGGCAAAGAACAGGCCCTCTGTTTGACCCCGGATTGAGGATGAGGCACCTAGTGCCTGAGACAACAGGAGATGTTTGAGGTCTGGGACTTACTGGTAAGAGCCAGCCTTAGGTCTTGGTCTCAAACTAGTTCTTAAAATAGTACATGTGGAGGTGACAACATGCCTGCCAGAGGGGAGGTTCCTGCCCCGGGAACACCAGAACTATGTGGGGTCTCTAAAACATAAGTAGCGCCAGGCCAAACTTGATAGTTCTGATCTTACTGGCCTGGGTAGGTGGCTTTACATGAACAACGGTAAATACCAGCGTATCCATCTCACCCAAACAATCTGAGCTGCTTCAATCATCCCTATTTTCTTTGAGGCCCTTGTACACACTCAAAACATCAAGATGGTCTCAACAGCTGAGAAGAAAAAAGGCCCAAAGTCCTAAGCCCTTCAGATCTTCACGGTTTCCTTGTTACCCAGGAAAGTCAAATGGAAAGCAGGCGTGACGGGCTCACATAGGATAAATCTCCTTGCTCCTCAACAGGCCAGAGGGGGGAGCCAAGCTGTCAGACCAACGGGCAGCAAAGGCCTCTAAGCTGAGGCCGCACGCTGCCCAGTGTACTTAGGGACAATCCTCTTCCCTCTGAAGACCAGTAGTCCTTTCAGCCACATCCAGAGGCCGAGAAGGAAGAACCCCACACCTGGCCTTGAGGCCTGAGGCTACTTCCACTGGGCTGGCTACCGCTGGGGTGGCACTACCACTGGGGTGGTGCTACCACAGGTGGTAGCAAGTCTTGGGGGGCACACCCAGCTCTGGGGTTAGACCTAGCAGCTCACATCTTCCTGTGGATGTGGGGAACTCAACTGCTCTGTGCCCTGAATTCTCTTCTGGGTACATTACAGATGCTAACATACCTGCCTCAGAGAGTTACAATGAGAACTAGCTGAGCACTTTCAAATCACTTAGAACAATGCTCAGCACATGGAAAACCCCCACGCAATGCCAGCCGGCTGTCAGTCACTACTATGACCAAGCCCAAGGGGGTGGGTGTCAGCCCCAGTCCTGTGGGAACCTGCAGCTGTCACAGCCATGGCTGGGAAGGGATGGCCCAGGGTGGCCAGGCGAGCCCCGCCTGCCCCCGAGGTGGAGGCCACCACTCACCTGCAGCTGCAGGACTTGTTTCTCAAAGGCTGACACCTTGGCCTCCGCAGTCTTCCGCTGCTGCTCCTCCTGCCGGGCTGCCTCTGACTTCTCCACCAGCTCCTTGCTGACCTTGCTGAGCTCCTGCCGGAGCTTGGCCAGCTCTGCGTTCTGCCTGTGAGACAGTTACCAGCACCCCATTGGCAGACAGAAGAGGGTGATCAGCCCTCGGAGGTGGGACCAGCAGTCGAGGCCTTCCCTCTAGATGGCTGCTCTTTCAAAAGTTGCTGCCCAAGTCTCACATTACCAAAGCTCCTCTTGCTTTAGTGGCCATGTGGAATTTGATGTGTTTTATCAAAGACACTGTATTATTGGCAAGGGACGTGTAGGAGAGCACTCCACACAGAGAAGCCCCTCCCAGAAATGGCTGGAAACTCAGAGAGAGAAGAGGCAAGACACTCTTCATTGCTGATCTGGGTCTAAACAAGCTCTGGGATGTGGGCTGATTTGCTTTGACCCCCTGCAAGGCCGAAGACAGCCCTAACTAGACCTGGAATTGGTGGTCACCTGAAGTAGAAGGGTGACAAAACAGCCCCTCAACACTGCACTCCAAAGCTGGGCCTCAGAAGCAGGGAGTTAGGGAAGACTGGTGGGCAGGAAGAGAAATGGTCAAACTGCTTTATGCAGCAGGTGGAGCTTAATTAGGATGCACAAAACACACTTCAAGGCAGGACCAACTGTCCAGCGAAGGAGCAGTAGCAAATACAACCAAGGGGACAGATGACTGCCCAAACCTTGGGGGCATAGCACACCTGATGACGACAGCTGTGCTCTGTTGGCTGGGGTGGCTAAGTTTTCACCTCTTTGGACTTGGGTACCTCATCTGTACCAGGGAGATAAAAGCCCTCTGTGAGGACATCAGCTTGGCCTTAGGAGGCCAAGATTCAAGACTGAAAAACATATTCAAGAAACTGGACTCCAGCACCATGGATTGGAGGACTGAGGTGGGGGGAGTGTGGCCCCTTGGGGCTGATGTGGAGCTTTGGGAGTGCCCGGGAACATCCACTTCACAAAAGCAGAGCTTCCAGAGACTGACTGCCACCTCCAGGTGAGAGGTCTCTAGTCGTCCATGCCTTCCTGTGAGGGAGGCCATGGCTGATTCTATGCGGATGGGAAACCAGAATGCTCCAACCCGGTGTTTGCCTTCTGCTTGTGGCTGCTAACAAATGCAGCCACAACCCTCCAGGTGATGCACACACACTGTAGAGACCTCCTGATGGAAGGCACAGGCCTGGGCATGGCAGCCTTTGGATCTCACTATGTGCCAGCAAAAGCAGACTCATGGGCACAGACTTTCTTCAAAGGTCCAGCTCCTGGGTTGGCATTCTTCCCACCTCACTTTCAGGTAAAGGACCTGGGGTTGTGGTGCTCTCTGCCCTTATTTTTCCTATTGGCATTAACAGAGAACCCCAGAACAAAGCTCTCTAGAGTGTGCCTTCAGGACACTCCAAGCCAGCAGAAGCCAAAGAAATATAAGTCAAGAAAACGCGATGGCGCTGCCTGTTGAGACTGTGATGCTAAAACCAGGGAATCAGGTCAGCCACTCATGGCTGACTTTCTAGCACTTCAGCCCTGACAAACAATATAGCCAGAACTCAGAAGTAAAATCTCCCTGCCAACACAGGAAACATCACTCCGTCCACTCTCCCTGTGGCCCGGCTGTATGAGAAGACCTGTGACAGACACTCAGCTGCCCAAATGGCAGGTGAGGACAGAGCCCCAGTGGGGATGGTGAGGAAGCTCACATGTGGGCCTGTGAAGGCTGCCACACCGGCCTCCCACAGCAGCCTCTCAAGAAGCGCAGGGACTCTCCCCAGTTCCAGACACCCAAGAAAGTGCCATTACAGGGTCCTACCAGGGCATAAAACTTACTTGCTCTCCACCTGGCTTGTGGCCTGGTTCAAGGCGTCCCTCAGGATGGAGTTCTCCTGCTGTAGACGAGCCAGCTGTGTGTTGGGGCCATTCTCCAGCTGTTCCTGAAGAGTCCGGATCTGCAAAGTCATGGACACATTAGAGATACTTAGCTGTACAAAGAGCCAATGTCTGGAGTGTGGTTAGTGAGGACAGTCTGCAGACAAAACTCCCAAGGCCTCTGCCTTCTTCACATGTTGAGGAGGGGACCCCTGAAACCCACACAGCTCTAGGAGTGGGGCCTGGAACCCAGGGTGACCTGTCACCCTGTGCCTCTCCTCTCTCCCCTACCTCGGATGTACCGCCCTGGGTGGCTGAGCACCCGCAGAGAGTCCCAGCTGTGTCGTGTGCCTGTAGGGCCCTGGGAGCACTGCCCTGAGACAAAGCACACGCCACAAGCCAAAGGCTCCAATTATCCCGAGAAGCTTCGCTTCCTGTGCCCTGGAGCTCTCGTGGCACAGCCTACCATGCAGGCTGCAGCTTCTAGATTGAGTAGAGGCCAGGTGGAAATCCACACTGAGTGTCTCCAGGGTCACATGGCCATCTAGGCAAGGCTGGTCAGCTGGAACCAGGCTGTTTTTACAAAGTATTCTATATTAAGCACATACAACAGGCTGCCTGATGCCAATTGACCAGACACCCTACCAAACAGACCAACTCCTGCACCACCTCCACCTGTGGGCATCCTCAACTACCCTCCGGAGACTGCTTGAACTGTCCTGTGCACCCAGAGTCACTTCTCACCTTGCCCTGCAGCTGCTGCACCTCCTTCATATGCTCCTCGTAGCTGGCCTGCATACGTGCCTGCACGGCAGTGATTTCCTGCTCCCGGGCCACCAGCTGCTTTTTCACCTTGGCCTCCCCAGCTGCTGCTTTGGCCTTTTCTGCTGCCAGTTCCTGGCAAAAAAAAGGCATAGTGAAGAGAGGCTGATTAGGCAGGTAAGCATGGGAACTTATCAGATGGGAACAAGATCAGGACAACCCAGGGCATGACTGGGGGCTGGGAGAAGCTGCAAGCAGGGTCAGAGGGCCCTCTTACAAACTTCTACATGAAAGCCGGTCACAGCAGAGAGCAGGCAGGAAACAGCAAGGCCCCCAGGAAAACACTATGGAGGGCTCCATGTTGGGCCTTGGATACAGCGGAGGTGGCAGACAGGCAGGAGCTGCACGGACACATCACACTCTCCAGGGACATGGTTTAGGCCTGCTGGCGTTACAACACCCCAGCTTGGCTCCTCACTGACATCCAGGAAAGCTGCTCTCCATGAGTACCTTTATCGGACCAACAAGGAAGCTAAACTTGATGGCTGGGGTGGGGACACACACTGCTGCTCATCTCACTGTGGCTCAGGGGTCAGCCCCACTTCTTGGGGGCAGACACTCTTCTCCCCTGTCCAATCCAGAAGGACTGCCCTGGTTAGTAGTAGGTGCCCATGATGAACCTGTGATGCAGGCCTGGTGGCCTGGAGTCTCAGGCAGGGACAGAGAGCAGGGTGGGCAGGACTGGCAGAGGGACTGGGGCTCACTGGGGTCTGCAACCCCAGAGGAATGGCAAGGGATGGAGGCCATGGGGAAGCAACAGTGTGAGGAAGGGGAGGTCACCCGCTACTGGGGTGAGTGTTCCATGCCCAGTAGGCCCCCAGCCAGAATGGAAGCTGCCTGATGTCGGCCCAGCTGGTCAGTGCCCCACAGGATTCAAGGCCTTCTCTGTTATGTCTTGGGCACTGGAGCAGGTGAATGGGAAATCCTCACCTTTTCCTAGCCAGGGATATCAGGGAAGCCCATCTCAAAGGGTCAGCGTCCGTTCTGCCTGAGATGGGAGCAAATCAGAGGCCAGGGGAAGGGCTGGAGTGACTGGGGTGACCACTGGGTACCAGAGCTGCTCTATGTGCCCGAGTACCTGGGACCACTGGGGACCCACTGGCCCTACTTTTCAAAGGCAATCGTCTTCCCATCTCTGCCTGAGTGATCCCCCAGGAACATGAAGGGCATACTGGGGAGGCATCCTTGAGGAGTCACAGAAATGGGAGGGGACTGACAGTGTGGTCCATGTGGAGATATGCAGGCATCTCATTCAATTCTCTCAAAGACAAAGGCCCCGATCCCTATTTTAAGTTGAGTGCATGAACTTTCGGAAGAATGTGCTGCCCGCACACGCCTGTGCCTCTGCCACACACCCCAAGAAAATGGATCCACCAAATTCCTCTGTGGCTACTGTAAGATTTCTCTATAAGGATTAAAAAGAAAAAAAAAGGGAACTAGAGCATGAAAAGCAGATTCTCTCAATGACACCTGCACATGTGGGGATTAAATTAGAGGACTTTTCACGATCTCAATAATTTCGTTTCTCACATAACCTTCCTCAACTGTGCTGGGCTAGGAGACAAGACCCAAAATAAAGTCAATGTGCCAGCTCTGCTCAAACGCTCAAGAGAGAACTGCAGGGACTCAGCGGCAGGCCCCAGGAGCACAGTGAGGATCGAAGGCAGCTGCAGAGCCACCGGAAACTTCCTCTGAGCTGGGAGCCAGCTTTGGGGCACAGCAGCTCTGCGCACCGATAACTGGCCAGGGACGACTACGTGGCCAGGGTGCAGGGGAGGGATGGGAAAAGCTAGACACTGCAATGGCAATCCCTTGCTGGGCAGGAAAATGGCAGCTCCCGAACATTTCCCAAGGGAGGAAGATCAGATGGATTCTCAAGGATAAGAACACTTCCAGCCAGCCAAGCAGTGAAGGGCATCTGAGGCTAACAAACAGCAGATGGGCCAGAGGAGAAAGGTGTGTCTTGTCACGGGTAAAGTGGACTGGAGGGGTTCAGACTTCGATCTGAAGATCAAGTGCCTCTGGAGCTAACAGGGCCACACTGGTAACTGCACTCAGTGAGCCCAAGAGGACCTCGTCAGCCTTCAGGGAGGATGAGTTAGCCGGATGGGCCCTGAGAAGTTGCAAAGGCTCCTGGGCCAGGGAGGGCATCCTGGGTCCACTGCCTGTGGTTTTGGAGAGCACCTCGCATGGCCGCCAAGGCAGAGCAGTAAGCACCCACATAAGGAACAGCACCTAAGGGCCTCCTCTGACAGGCGCACTCCCTACTCCCTCTCTTGCAACTGCGTCCCATGCACCAGGCTGCAGGACCCGAAGTGGGGTCACTGTCACTGTCTGAGGTTGCACCTATTCACTTATCACACCTCTGGTCCACCCTAAATTCAAGGGGGAGGCACAGGGAACTGGCCAGGCAGCCACATGACCCCCCCACCACGAGTATGCTCACTCCCATTTCCTTTCCTTTGGGCTTTATTAAAGGGGTCAGCAGATGTTCACAGGGACTTCTCTGTTCAGGAAAAGGTTACGTAAGAATGACTCCCTGAAACCAAAGATTCCTGAGCAGTGTAGTGCTGTCAGCAAGCTTGGGGGACGGGAGCTGAACTGTGGTGCCAGCTCATTCCTACAGCAGAAGCACTCCCAGCTCGGATCAACTGCTGTCAAGGCAGAGAGAGAGACAGCACATGCGCCCCAGGAGCAGGGGAGCGGCTCTGGCCTCCACCACATCTAACACTGGCCTGTCTCGAGAGGGAACAAAGGCCCCTGGACAACAGGCCACTAAGCTCTTGGGAGGGCACAGGGACCTGTTTGCCTCCTCTTCAACTGTGCTGGGCATGAGCCAAGAGTAACAACCATCAAAGGTTTACCCTCGGATTCTACCTGCTCCCACCTGCTCCCACAGGTGAACTTTCCCAGCTGCTTAGACCTGAGTCCCTCCAATTCAGGCCAGAAACTCTGGCTGCCTCACTTCTACATCTTTTGAGAAGGAGCAGACAGAGATGAGCAGAGGAAGGGGTGCAGCCCAAAGGCGTGAGACATTGGGACTCACGGCATCTCCCTGTGTCCGCCAGTCCACTTGGGGAGGGCAAGAGCACTTCAAACTGGGGCAGTTTTCCAGTGGGATAGGACCGGCCCATATGCTGGGATACCAACACTCCTTCTCAGAAGGTGCGAGGCAAGGGAGAGACCCTGTGGGCTCTGACAGGGGCAGAGCATGTCCTTCCATCCCAAATGATGCCCGGCCTGTCCCTGCATCATGAGCCCGTACTCAGTTACCACTGAGAACAAATGTCTAGTGCTGGCCCATCAGATGGCACTAGGAGCAAGGAGCACTTCCTGCAGGAAGGTGCCACTGACACACAGAAGTGAGGAAAGCAGTTGCTCCATCTCTAATCCCCCACCCACGGGGGTCTGTCTCAATTCTCAAGAAAAAATTTTCTCAGTGTGTCCGCCCTCCTTTTTAGGTGTGTGCCCTAGAAAGACAGTCCATCGTGAGGGACCCGTAAGTGATATTCTGGCCCATCTACCTCACAATGAAGGGCCTTAACCCCCCTACTTAACATCCAAGCAGTCTTACCACCACAGGGAAGCAGGAAAGGATCTCCCTCCTCAAACCCCCCAACCAAAAAGGGGCTGCCACCCGGGGGCAGACTCTCCATAGCTAGAGTCCTCATGCAGCCAGAGCGAGCAGTGGCAGCCAGCAAGCTGAGCCCACAATGGCTTTGGTGCAAGCCCCCTAGCCAATAGGTGTGTGGTGGAGAGGGGCCCTGAGGACACATGATGGCTCAGTTGTACCTTATTGAGCTCCCTCAGTTTGCTCTTGGCCACAGCAGCATCTTCCTGCTCGGTAGCCAGTAGTTTCTCCTTCTCTTCCAGCTGCCGTTTCAGAATCGCCACAGGGTCTCCCTTCTGAGTGGCCTAAAAATGCCCAACAGAGCTGTGTTAATGAGGGGACACACAATTGGTTTGCAGCCCTCATCAGAGTGGTCAGCCCCTGACCAGCAACAGGAGCAAAACAAGTTCTGTTCACAGCTGCCTTGGCCTCCAGGCCTGGTGTGTAGAATGGCCAAATGCCTTTACTCTCCAGAAGTATGGGGTTCGCACTAAGTTGGTCAATGGGGGCAAGGGCCTCTCCCTACCCTCCTGGGAGGTTCCTGACCATTGTTTCTGGATCCGATCCATTTCCTCAGTCAGTATAAACAGCCTGACATCCACAAGGGGAATATAAATTCTGGGAATAGTGGCCTGAGCTAAGCCCGGGTCTCTTTTCTTGAAGGAGTGGTCATCCTGACTCTCTTCAACCACCTACACCCAGAAAATCCCTCAAGTTCACTGAATGAGAAGTTCACATCACCCTCAGTAAGAGCAGGAGGAATTAGGCCCTCCAGGCTCTAGGGCCCACCAACTTGTCTCTCAGAAGCCCCAAACATCTCTAATCACTAAGGCATCGCATAATTCTCCAGCAAACTGACCTACTATTCCAAAAACAAATGTGCCATGAGGAAGAGTGGGTGCCAGCCAGCCTCTGAACTGGTACAACTGCAGACACATTCTAGAATTCCCTGCATGTTCCTTCCTGCGCCCTGAACCCAGACCAGCTGGGACCCAGCTCCTGTGTCCTCTTCCCAGGCCCCTGCAACAGAGCCCTATCCTGGTCTTGGGCGGCCCCTGTGATTCAGGAGCAGGGCCACAGTGGGTTGTGATAGAAACCCAAGCACTGGCAGCCTGAGCCCGGGCAGGTGAGTGGAGAGAAGGCATCGCCGGAGGTTGTCTTGTGAACCACATGCTGCTTGGCAGGCCAGGAGTGGCAGTGGGATGGGCAGTTCCCAGCCAGGGAAGGTTACTGCAGCTCACCAGCCAGGAAAGGAAAGGCAGGAGGGCAAAACTGCCTTTGGACACAGTGGCCACTGAGCGTGGCGAGAGTAAGGCAGCCCACCTTGTGCCAGGTGTCCTGAATGACGCCAGCCTTGTCGGACAGGATCTCAATGAGCCGCAGGGCCTCACCCTCGTTGAACACCATGCTTCCCACCGTGGAGACCAGCGTCTGGTAGGGGAGGCAGAGAGGGCTGTCGGAGTCCAGGAGGCCTGCACAAGGAGGAGTAGGGACACCACTCAGACACCAGCAACCAAGCCCGCAATACCCCGAAGCAGCAGATGCGGTCAAGCCAAGGGCTCTATCTAGCTGCCAGGGTCTTCAGGTGGCAGGCAGCATGGCCATCTCACGCCGTCACAGCACTTACCATGGCGCAGATGGCACCATGGCCCCACACCCGCCCCCCATAACCCAAGACAGCTGAGGGGGAAGGTCCCGCAGTAAAGATCCACCGTTTTTGTTATCAAAATAACCATCAATATGAGTAGAATTAAGCAAAGCATACTTTTTCCATAGATCATTTTTGATTTCCTCCTTTTTCCAGCAATATATATAGTAGTTCAGTTCTTGCCCTGACGGCTTGGCTTGCATCTCCCACCTGCCTGAGACCTGTCCTTATGGGCCCAAGGGTGCTAACTGGCCAGCCAGTTCAGCACTCTCCCCTCCCCCATCAGCATGGGCTGACGATGGAAACAGCATGGGCTCCTGTTTCCAAGGCAGCTATTCTAGGGTCCCCGGTTACAGGAGGCTGTTTCCCATGGGCATCCAGGTTCAAACACCCTATTTCTTATCTCCCCTGATGGGAACTAGCATAGGGTTCAGAAGGAAGGTGGGGCTGGGTTCCTGCCAGTCTAGCAGCAGCTTCCTAGAACACCAGAGCCATTTGCCAACAACCAAACAACAAACAACCAACCAAACAACAAACAAACAACTTGTGAAAACCTCCTGACACCCTCCCATGCCCACCCCTCCAAGTTTCACTCTTCTCTCACAGTCTAGAAGGCAAAAAACGTTGAGTTGAGATACCCTGAATGGCAAGAGCCTTGCCTCAAATATCTCAGGGGACAGGGCCAAAAATGAGCTGAATAAAAGCCAACAGGCCAGCCTGCAGGGGCACCTCTGGCTAAGCCCCCTCACTGAGGACAATGAATGGGGATGTTCCCATAGCAACCCTAAATTCTCTGGCTTGTCACAATATTTCCACTCACTAATCACAATGTTTTCATCACAAAAGAAGCATTCACACAATACCTTCCTAAGGGGAGTGCGGGAAGTGGGTGAGTGATTGAGATGAGCACCTTCTTCTGGAACCTCCTACCTCAGTGAAGCAGGAGATTAGAAACAACCACACCGATATGAATGGTCTGGTGGCTCAAGGGCCTCACAAAAACAGGTACTGGGTGGGAGACGGGTAGGAGGGGGAAAGTGTGAGGGGAACGCATGCCCCTTAAATCTTTCTTCTTATTGAAGTATGCAGATAAAATAATTTTGATGGAAAACTTAAGCACACTAGAGAAAATTCTGAGCACAACTGAGAAAAGAGATAAAAATCACCATGAGGAGAAAACTATGCCATTAGCATTTTGGTTTAGGGGCTTCCTGTTCTTCCCCCTCAAACTGCAGACAGACATCTATTGCCAATATTTTGTAGGAAAGAGGCCTTCATGCTGAGCTGGACGTGGCAGGACGGCCTCTTGGCTGTTCGCTGCAGTCAGCTTTCCTTCCTGACGCAGAAAAGCCCCTTCCTGTGCTGTCCAACACAGTGGCCGTCAGCCACATGCTGTCCTGCACACTTGAAATGGGGCCGGCATGAACAGAGAGGTGTGCCCAAGAATACATCAGATTTTGAAGACTTAGTAGGGAAAAAAAGCTGTAAAGTATCTGTAAATCTTTATAATGATTGCATGTTGGAGTAATAGTATTCTCAATAAATTGGATTAGATAAAATGGAGTTGATTTTACTTGTTTCTCGTTTGCATTTTTGAATGTGCACTTTTTAAAATTTAAGTTGCACACACAGCTCACACTCCATTTCTGTTGAGTAAGCTGGTGCTCCTCATGTGAATGCCTGGCAGCCTCACCCCTGCCTGGCAGCAGAGGCCAGAGAGTGAGGCAGGTCCTGGTCTCTCTTGAAGACTAACCTCTGGGCCAGTGGCCAGGAGGGGAAGCAGCAGGAGAAGGAGCAGAAGGCAGCCTGGCTTTGTCATGGAATTCCTCAACCCAGCCAGGTACTCACTCCCTGGGGAGTTCTGACAAATGTGTGTCCCTCCTGGAGGTCCAAAGGGGACACACCCCTCACTGCTCTATCCACAAAATGCTTCTGAGAATATTCTGAGAGTGTCATACTAATCAACCCTTATGATTACTAATGTAACTGCACTAAATTTTACTGAATATTATGGCGTACAAAGTATTAAGAACTTGTAACAAGAGGACAATCTAAAGCTATGTACAACAAAACTTAACTATGACCATCTCCCACACTGTGGTCCTCCCTCACCCAACTCCATGCTCACACAAAATCCATCTTTTAAATTACTTTTAAAGAGCCATAACTGCATAGTTTTCCATTAAGTTTTTAAAATAAGAACTGTGCTTTTTGTTTTCCCCCAAATCAAAGGAAGTAAAACTGAAAGAAAAAAAAAGCACTTGGAAGTAGGAACTAGAACTTCTAGATCTCTGCATGATGGGCATTTACTTCTGGGTTTCAAGCTCTCTTGCCAGACCAGCAGGACTAAACTCATCTTGCCCGGGAGCCTTCCATCAACAGTCACGTGACAACAGGTGCTCACTGCACGTATGCCCATCACGTGGGTACAAACACTCGAAGGCTGGAAAGCATCCTGGGTATTGTGAAATCTTAAGGCACTAAAATAAACTGGTTAAAGACTCAACATCAAATCTGCTAAGTCTGTACTTTATACTTTGCATTTATCAAGACCAGAGGCAGTAAACTCCAAAGGTTCCTGAGGGCCTGCCCTCAGTCAGTGCTTTTGCCCACGGAGATGAGTCCTGCATACAGGAGGCCAAGGCCAAGGCCAGGAGGCCCAGGAAGTAACACGAGAGCAGAACAAGGAGGGGAGCAGCACAACAGGCCAGTGCTCACGGACAATCGACTCCTGTCCGGTGGAAGGCAGAGCAAACATCCCCAGAGCCTGCACTGCACAGAAACATCTCCTAGACATGGTGGCCTGAGGCAAGTTCCTTTACCTCCAGACCCCCTCGATCTGGGTTAGGATCCTCCAGGTTGCTGCCTGTGAAGGAGAACTGGATAATTTTATGTGCCACCACCTGACCTTTAGGGACGACAGCTAACATGAAAATTAATAAACTATGGTGGTGCCGAACAAACACACTGCTTGTGTCAGGTCTGGCTGTAGGCCACCTCCACGCTTAGGTAACAGGCACTGTGGTCTGAACAAGGCGAGAGGTGGCCCTGACTCAAACCCCAGTTCAGTTCCTTCTCACCATGTGTTGCTGGGTAAGCAGTTTCACTTGCCTTTGTCTCATCTATGAGATGGGAGTGAGAATCATCCTCCGTCATAGCCTTGCTGCGAAGACTAAACTGCAAAGCACTTGGAATTTGCCTGGCACCAGGTAAAGCCCCAAATCACGGAACTCCAGACCTCAAGCCCTCCCTGTACAACTCACCTAGGGAGATACTCAAGGAGGCCTTTTTCCTGCTCCCACGGGAATGAAAAGTCAGGCAAGGTGGCACACGAGAGACACGTCTCTGTGGGCAGAACTGCGTACGGAGCCTGAGGGCCCCGCTCTGCACCACTGTCCTCACCCACCAGGCTAAAAGAGCAGCACTTTTGGTTAAGAGATGAGCCCTCTACTCTCTGGCTCTCAGCCAAAAAGCATGCACTGCTGGAACAACGTGCGTAAAGCCTCAAATTACAGAACTCTGTATGTTCTGTTCTGTAACTGTCCCGGGAAGCTTAATCACCTAAAATTAAACTTGTCCTGCCAAAACGGACCCAGGAGTCACTTTCACTGTTAACTGCGGAATGCTTCAGGAACAGTGTTCTCATTGCCTAACTAACAGGTCTCAACCACAGTAGACGCATGGGGCTCTGGACATAGTGCTGTTTTGGCATCAGCAACTCCAGTGCCAGTTACCAGAACACTCCTCATTGCTCATGCCTGGCTGACTAAACCAACAGAGAGGGCCTTAGAACAGCTCCAGGAACTACTTCCCAGTCTCTCAATTTTGGGGTTATCTAGCACACATGCCCTCTGATAGGTGCAAAAGGCTCTAGACCAGCAACAACACTGCTATAGATGCCTACAGCCCTGCCCAGGTCAGACAGGTCTAAGTGACATGCACCTACTGTGTACCCCACAGTCTGCAAACTGCTGGGCCTGGAAAAGTAAGTTAGAAATGGAAGTGCCAGAGAAAAGTAGAGGGAAAAGACACAAGGCAGCCACGCAGCAGAGTCGTACAGAGGGAACCTGAGATCTGTCTGGTGCTGTGGAAGCAAATCCAGCAACAACTCCAGGAAAAGCTATTGAAGAAGGGGAAACCTGGATCAAATACTATTGGGTAAGGACAAGGCAAGGGCTGGGGAAAGTGAGGGATTCAGGAAAGGGAGCAGCAAGGATGGGCACTAAAGACTCACTAGTCAGGAGGAAAGTGAGCCTGGAGCAGGTCCAAGTTTTCATAGGCCCAAGGGATCTGGATTTTTATCTTACAGGCAAACAGCAAAGCCTAGAAAGGAGCAAGGTCTGCATTCAGGAGAAGTTATTTCAGGACATCCAGGAAGCAAGGCTGGAGATAGGCAGATCAGGAAAGAGTCACAGGCTAAGGTCGAGGTCCAGGATGAGTATTTAGGAACCAAGGTGGGGGGGATGGAAGGCCCAGGGGTCAGCCAGGGACTCTGACACGGAACCTGCCATTGCAGTATGTGACCCTAGCATTGGGGGAGAATGCTGATGGTAAGCACTCATTTTCTCAGGGACTGTCTGAGAAAAGTTAGTTCTAAAAGGCTTCAAACATTATAGATACAAGCAGGCAACATCCTGCAAGTTTTCCTTTCAAGAAGCCAGACCCCAAACTTCCAGATTTCCAGACCCTGATATCCCCAAACTCAAACAGAAGGCCCCAAAGTCCCAACGTGAGCTTCCCCTACATAGCCTTAAAGACCCCCACTGCATAAGAGATTTACGGATGGAAGAAAAGCAATCCCAAGTCCAGAGGGCTTTCCCCTTA